AATAACTTCACTGTATCAAATGACAGACACCCATGCAAAGAGGTATCGCTTACTTGGTATAAATTCATTTTTAAAATTCATTTTTAATCCCCAGAACGTGATCATGAGAGGCAGGACACAATCCTACTTCCTCTGAAGTCAAAGGGACGATGCTTTATTGACTTTCTGGCCTCTCCTTTTCTCCCAAAAGCAGAGATGAAATGTACTCGCGTATGTCAAACCATTCTTGTGACACATCTGGAGGATTTTGGAAACTGTCTCTCCTTTCTGCTGCACTGCAGCACCTGTATAGAGCTTTGAAATTTTGAAATTAGTTTTTCGGAGAAGGGAAAATGAACAATGTAAGTTTGGTGTGCAAGTGTTGTTTGTTTTACTTAAAAATATATACCTGGCCTGGAAGAGATGGGGTTGTAAACAGCCATGCTGTTTTCTGTGCTTTCATAGCCAGGGCTTGCAAACCAACTCCTGTTTCCCAGGAAACTATTGAGTCACAGTAATTACCTAATTATTTCTGGATAGTAGATAGGTGTGTAAAACTCCTGTGCTCTGTCTGTCCCCTAAAAGGGCTGTCACATAAGAAGCAAAGATGTCGTATTAGGGTTTTCTTCAAAGATGAAAACATCCATCTTTTAAACACAGTTTGTGAATAAGATTATTTCAATCCAAAGAATTCAATCTGAGTAGCTTATTTTGTGTTTTTTTTTTTTTTTAACCAAAATAAAATTGGAGAAAATACATAATTTTTGGTTAAAACACTTTTAACTTCAGTTAGGCAGTTTTTATGAAAACACAGCCAAATAGAAAGTTTATATAAAACAAACATAGAAATATATTTTAGAAATTAGTTCCTGAAATCATTATCTATCTATCTATCTATCTATCTATCTATCTATCTATATATTATTCTGGATTTCCTTTTTGTCCTTGTTTTCTGTTGTGAATGAAATAGCTTGACAAACTCATATTCTTTTGTATGACTGAACCACGCGATTTTAAATACAAGACAGTGTACCATTTTTTCCTGCACATTGCTCTTTGCCTAATTGAATGTAACATTGTTTTTCAGTGGCACTTGCTCTCAGAATTCAAAAAGATATTTCCTCTTAACAGTGTCTCACATTTAGATGGCTATTAGATTATTATGTCACCTTGGAAATTTCTGTGTTTCTCTGTAAAAGAAAGAAAAATTAATGTTTTTGTAACTGGCAAATAAAGTGATCTTTTAAAGTAAGTTCTTAAAGCAAGTTCTCACAGAGGTTAAAAAGAGTTGTATTTATCTGCAAAGTAATTAAGAAAAATAAGAATACCTCCATTATTAACAAAAGTTTGCTTAGTGTATGAGTCAATTATTATTAGCCAGTACTAGAGAGAGCTTTTCAAGTTGAGTTACGTTAAATAATTTTATGATGACTTTATAAACCATAGTAACATCACCGATCACTGTGTAAGAAATGACATTGCTGGGAAAGTAAATACATAGTTATGCCTCAGCAGCTGCTAAATGTCTCTGTACTAAGACCAACAATCTCCATATCTTGGAGTTCACATAGTTAAGCCTGTGTTGTCTGTGATGTAGAGAGGAAAATGTCCCTAATGTCACTTCCATCCTGTGCCATTAAAGAGGAGGCCTATGAAAACAGATTAAGCATGGTACTTAAATTGCAAAGGCATCACTGTGAAGTGTATTGACAGTGAAAATATCTTTTGGTCCACATTCAAGGACCGATATACCAGTTGATATGTACTTTTCTGTTTAGAAATCTTCTGCAGATTATCATGGTAGGATGACCTGTTTCAACTTAATTTGTAGTTGTTAAGTAAGCACTCTGAATATTATTTACTGAACACTGGCAAACTGGAGAACCAGAGCAATTTTTCCATTGATGTATCCAAAATTTTTAACTACGTTTCAGTTGGCATAAATTATGAGGAATTCACCAAGGTGCTTGGTGGTGATCTGTGGTATGCTCATGCCGTGGGGTTTGCTCTGCAGCAGCACTGGCACCAATTGAGACCCATCTTGATCTGATAGGGATGCTGTGAGGCAGCTGGCAAGGTGCCCCTTCATGGGAGCCTGGGCCATCTGTGCACATGACTCAACAGAGGTTGTTCCTAGAAGAAAGGAGCTCTCAGGAGGTGGTTCCTGGGGCTTGAGAGTCCAAGGAGAGGTGTGTAATTGGGGATTCCCATGGCAAGAGGCTTGGGGGAGCTGCCAAGGCAAAAGGGGAAGGTGAATGCAAGGTGAAGGACAGAAAATGCCTGGGAGAGGTGGCAGGAGGAGGCACCAGCTGCAGCCCACATCTCCTCAGGAACTAGTCCTGGGAATGGTGAGTCTCTTGATATTTCTTGGATGGAAAACTTCAATTTTACTTGGGGAAAAGACTGCCCTTTAGCCACAAGTTTACATATAAAGGGTAAAGCAGCCCAGTGCATCACTTGGTTGTAAGTGGTGGAGCTGCTCTTTTAAGAGTGCTAGGAATTTTATTAATGCGGAAGATAATTTTTACCTGCTGTTAATTATTTAAAAAGCACTGATGGAAAGAACAAAAAAGATTGAGTGCAGTAGGGGAGTTAAAGATTTCCCTGGGAAGACTTTAATATTTTATGCTGAGATTTGTTTTTATGAGCCAACTTACAGTCACAGCAGGTATTAACTAAAATGTCCTGAGAAAGGACTGAGATTTCCTCCTGTTCCCCCTTGTCCTTGGAGCTGGTGCTTCTTGTTTGAAGTTACATTGAACAGCTGTGGAAGTACACAGTGCTGTTGGCTCTCTCCTTTTAGATGTGGGTTATGTTTCCCTCTGGTCACCATGGCTGTGGGTTCAGCCTCTGGGATTGGAGTTGATCTCCACAATTTATCTCTTAGTTTCCAGTTTACACTGTGGGTTTGCAGGAACAGGGGTGGCTTGTTTCAGGCTTGCTGATGTAGGCCTCAAGGCAATTGGAAGGCAGTGATGCTGTTAGAACCAGGAGCCTACCAGAGAAGCCTGTGTGTGGGGAGCCCTCTGCCCATGCTGCAGAGAGGTCATTTGCAGAGTTAGCCTGGACCTGGCCTGGAAGCCAAGTCTTGCCATACTGATGGGAAAGGAAACCTCCCTCTTTTGGGCTGGCTGATTTAATTGTGTCTGCAACCTGTGATACTGCAGGGCACCTGGGCACAGATGGGTGCACATTCAAACTGCTGTTTGCCTGAGGCAGTTGCTGGCCAGTGATTTCTCCTGCATGGGGCCATTTGGCTGAGGGTCTTGATGTGTGGCAGCCAATTGTCTGAGGTGGCCATTTGCAAAGGCCAGGCTATTCTTGCATTGATAACAGTTTCATAGACTATCATGCCTTTGTTGAACTACTGAGCAGAAATGCAGTATGAAGAAGAGGAAGGCTGAAGAGGCAGCTGGAGTAGCTGGCACAATCTGTCTGACGGAGAGAAATAATGGGAGATCTTGAAGGGAAAAAATTCCCTCTAAAATGTACCTTTAAGTCCAGGGTATGATGTAGCTAGGCCCCCAAAAACATAAGAAATGTCAAACCGTTGTTTCTTTTATTTTTATTTAAGGGAAGGAAATGAACTGCTCTGAAGCGGTTTTCCAACGTGCTTGTACTTAATTTGACAAGGTAGACTTGAATCAAGATAATTTCCAGTGTGAGAAAGAATTGAGGACTATCTCATAATAGTAAAATCATTACCAACTTTTAAGAAGAGTAAAGTGATTTAGAATAAAAGACATAAAGTTAAACACAGTTCAAGAGTAAACACTGAAATACGTTTTGGAAGCACTGATTTCTACAACTAAATCACATATTTCTTGGTATCTGAAGATAAACAGGGGTTCTGTTGAATAGAGATATGGTTGTCATTTGCAACCATTTGGGTTAATCTAAATTTCAATCACCTGCAGAAATAAGTTATAAATCAATATCTGTGCAGCCTCATTTTTTGATCTTTTAAAAACCTTGGGCCAGGCAGCATTAAAACCCTTTGAATGCACATGGAGGGAAGAGATCACTGAGGAGGGTAGAGAGAATAAAGTATGAGGCTTCAGTAAATAAGACAGAGGGGGAAGGAATAAAGGCACATGTCCATAAGGCAAATTAATCAACAAGAAGTTGAGAATGGATAGCAGTATAAGAAGAAAGATATTATCAAATAGGAAATCACTGAAGTAAAAAGTCAGCTAAGGAATGGTGCTGAGCCATTACTAAGGAATGGTAGCTATGTCACATGTGAGTCAGACTGCCTTGTGGTGGGTGAGAGAGTTGAATGCAGGTGCTCCCAAGAAGGCAACTACAATTGCCTGCCATGCTGTCTTCACTTCTTTGCTCAGCACAATATTTATGATTGATTTGTTGCAGTACTTGCCTCTGTTATCTAGGATTGAGATGTGTTCACTCAACTAGTCCAGCTTTGCTTGTATGTGAGACTGCTTTTGAAGACTTCTAAACTGCTGCAAAACATGATGATGATTGGCTACCAGTTATTCTATATCACTGGTTTGGAGAGTATGACATACAGTTGTGTCTGACACACAGCCTAAGTGCTTTTGCTATACTTACTATTGTGAGCAACCTAAAAAATAACTGATCTGTTTGGACAGTGTGAAATTCTTATCCTTGTCTGGTGTAAGGCTTATTTTGTAAACATAAATAGTATCTCAGAGCTATTCATGGTGCAAAGGCTGCCTCCCAACCTTTTTCCAAGAGAGAGAGATAGCAAGAATCCCATTGGGACAGGAGAAAATGGTGCTCTTCTGCCCTCTGGGAAATCCTTCAGTGTTCTCAGCTGGCAATGGACTTCCGCAGCTGTGACTGGGACCTGCCTCTTCCATCTCTAAGGAAGAAATATGAAAGCTTGTCTGTAAGAGCCCTGTTATGTCATGGCCTGAAATGGTGATTGAGCACCTGGTGAAGGGGGTGGCTGGCCCCAGGGAGCACAGGTGCAAGCTATTCACCTGGGCTTCCCACATGACTTGAGGGAACTCACTGGGTATAACCTTCCAAGGGAGATTGGTTGAAGCCTGCTTACTGAGAAGGTGTGTTCTGTAGCTAGAGACCCTAAAGTTAGTTGGGTGAGTAAACTTTTTAAATATATGATTGTTGATAATCTTAAGAACACTTTGCCTGGCATTGCAAATAGCCTATCAGAAACAATTGCATCGTTTCCAAGGACCAACACTTTATTCAGAAAGTAAGTAAGGTTAGCTGAGGGGAAGAAGGAGAAAAAAAAAAAAAAAAAAGGCAAGTAAAGTCATCAGGTAGGAAAAAAAACTCATCTTACTCTTTCAGACACATGATTTTCTCTAATACCCAGGCAGCTTTATCTGAGCTTATGTGACATTTTTGGAAAAATCTCCTGAATAAGCTACTGTTTTTGAGTGTTTGGGTAGTTTATCTCTAGAGTTACCTAACTTTGTGGATGCTTCTGGGAGGGAGAAAAAAATCCTTTCAGATCACAGCAGCAGTAGTTACACAATTATAATTTTGTTTATGTAGTAATTGCAAATGCTATATTGAAACGAGGTGTTTCTTTCACTACAATAAGCTCCAAAGCCAACTTCTGTTATCCAGATTTATAACAGTGTTAGTTCTATACTACTGGTGCGCAATCACGTGGAAAAAAAAAAAGAAGTAGAACAATAAGAATTGGGTGATTATTGGCTGGTTTGAGACAACCTTGGTCTCAGCTTGAAACAAAGAGTGCCTTCTTTTGTACTTCAGTGTTTTCAGATACCTATGCAGGTTACTGTTGTCATCTTTTCTAATTTTACTGTCTAAAGAATCATGAAAGGGTTTAAAGAATGCTGCATTACATTTTTCCTAGCTTCATATATATATATATTCATACATATTTGTGTGTGTGTGTGTAAAAAAAAAAAAAAAAAAAAAAAAAAAAAAGGTGTGAGGTTTTTTCCCCCTATATTCTGCAGCACAAAGTAATTCAAGCAATTTGGGAGGCTGAGAGCAGTCATAAGGTAGCTTTTCTCATGTCTGCATATCTATTTGATATAGAGGTTAGACCAACACAAATTCTAAATCCATCATCTTTCTTGTGCCCCAAGAAATTAGTGGAGATTTAAGACTTCCAAATAAAATTACTGTGTATGTGAAAAGTGAGTAGTAGCTATTTTTCTCTTTCTTTTGCACATCTTTGTGTAATTTACTGATTTATTTCTTGTTTTTGCTCCTTGCTTTTACATGGCTTATTTTTCTACCCACAGCAGTAAGTAGCTATAATGCTACTATCGGTTATTTTTTTGCACATGGAATACTTTCTCTTAAGATGAAAGCACGCTTCAGTTATCTATCAAAGGAGCATATGATGCTATCCCCATTGTGTAGTGGAAATCATCTATTTCAATATCTTCTTCCATGTTTACCAGGGCTTGGTTAAATTACACTGAAATTAGGTTATTCCTAGGCAGTCTGAAACTTCAGCATCAGAATAATGAGATACGAAGTGAGGATCACAGAATGGTTTAGAGTGGAAGGGACTTCAAAGATCACCTAGTTCCAACCACCCACCAGATGAGGCTGCCCAGAGCCCCCCCCAGCCAGGCCTTGAGTGCCTCAAGGGATGGGACATGCACACATTCTCTTGGCAGCCTATGCCAGTGCCTCGCTGCCACTGAGTAAAGAATTTCCTCCTGGTATCTAATCTGAATCTTCCCTCTCTTAGTTTTAAACCCTTTCCCCTTGTCCTAGAACTTTCAGACTATGTAAAAGGTTGATCTTCCTCGTGTTAATAAGCTCCCTTTTAGAACTGCAAGTCTGATATTAGGTCTCCCTGAAGCCTTCTCCTCTGCAGGCTAAATGAGCCAGGCTGCTTCAGCCTTTCTATGTAGAGGAGAGGCTTCAGCTCCCCAGTCATCTTTGTGGCCTTCCTCTGAACCCACTCCAACAGCTCCGTGCCTTTTTTGGGCTGGGAGCCCCAGTCCTAGACACAATACACTAAATGAGGCCTCAAGACAGTGGAGTAGGGGAGGACAGTCTGCTCTCTCTCCTTGCTACCCACCCCTCTTTTGATGCAATACAGGACGCAGTTGGCCTTCTGGGCTGCAGGAGTACACTGCTCTCTCATATCCAGCTTTTCATCCACCAGGACCCTGAAGTTCTTCTGCACAGGGCTGCCCTCAAAGCGTTCTTCTCCCAGTCTGTGCACATATTTGGGATTGCTCTGTCTCAAGTGCATCACCTTGTTCTTGGCCTTATTGAACTTCATGTAGGTCTACTCAAACTTGTAAGTGGGAAAAGGAATTGGCATACAAGCTGTTCATCTCTAACGTCTAGAAATGTAATAACTTCTATTTCTTCTTTATAAAAGTTTTCTTTTAGAAAACTAATCATATAGAGAATCAGTGGTAAAAAATTTTCAGTTTATAATACTAAAAGTATGGTCAAGAAAAGATCACTTCCAACCCTTAGAAAAGCCTTTTTCCTGTAGCGTGAATTCTCTGTGATACATAAGAGCAAATATTTAGTCTTGTATATGTTTGTATACATTTCTGGTTTGCCAGAAAAGAACAAGAGAAGAGGAAAACATCTAAGTGAACTCTAGAATTTACTTTATCACAAAATCAGCTAAATATGAAATAGCTCCTGTTTAAATTCTGTTTCTTGCCATATGCTAGGTCTCTAAATGTCATTCTTGATTCTGCACAATCTTGAAAACTGTATTTTCTACCCAGCACTTAAGCACACACTTAAATCTTAGCAATTATATGCTTTTGTTGAGGTCTATGAGGAATATTCGTTAACTTCGAGAAATGACAGATGTGCTTTTTTAGTTCAAGGATAGAATATTTGTAACTATGCAGGATCAAGTCTTTGTCTCATTTTGTGCTTTTTCTTTTTTGAATTTAGCCATTATAGTGTAGACTTTGATAATCTCTCATGGGACTCTAGGATTAAAACCAAAAAGATTATTTTCCTTTCTAGAGAAAAAGTGATGCTTTCCCCTATGTATTGTTACAGTAACTTTCCAGGAAGAGGTGGACGTCAAGTTATTAGTCTGTAGCTTAATGTCTGCTTGCCACCACTGGTTTTTTTTAATGCATTCTAGTCTGTGTTTTTTGACCATGCTTTAGATGCAATTGTTTCTCGGTGACTGTGTGACATTGCAGTTGAAGCCTCACTCATGCTTTGTAGACAAACGCTTATTTCTTTTCAAAGCTCCTGTTCTAAAGATTATAGGTGTATTATTGTACTAGATGTGAGAGGACTATCCATTATCTAAATTAGATGGCAGACTGCTGATGTGCCTAGTAGTATAATGATATCTCAGTATGGCAAAATATGGCATTGACAAGAAACGTCGTATTAATGTAGTCACATAATTTCTGGTGATAGGCAAGCCCTGTGAAGAGTATAGTGGAGTGGGATGAAGCAAGGACTGGTCTTCCCATTTCACATTCTGAGATGCTGGAAAAATCAGCCCAGTGCAACAAAGAATGTCAGTTGTAGATCAGAGAATAGAAGAGAGAATTGTGAGTCACAGGTTATCGTCTTAGCCACTGCCTTTATTTTTGCATTGGAGAGTATATATGTCTTCTGCCACACAGCCGGAGTGAGTTTTTGCACCCACCTGACCACATCTTTCTGAACTTAAATGAGCCACTGCTCTTAGCGGGGCTTCACAAAGCTGCAGGTAGGTTGAATTACTAAAGAATTGCATCTGGAAAAGTTTGGTCAGAAATGACTTTGGATTTATTATAGAATAGCACAAAAGGTAAACTGTCTCTACAAAGTGGCTCAGCGTTTCTCTGGTTAAGTTGTTAAGAGAAGGCAGTGTTTATTGCTGACTCTGGAGATGGCCTGATTCTCCTGCTGTTTAGTAACAAGTGGACATGAAGAAAATCTAGTGACATGAGTCAAATATCTGCTAATAGTGTTCCACTGCATTTGACAAATGTTCTTAGGAAACAAAGCAAGCATGTATTTTGAGGTTGAGATCACACAATTACTTTGGGATTGTCAGAATGGACTTCACATTAGTTGTCTGTGCACATCATATCTGTTTCATAGATTACAATGTCAGTGTTCTATAATTCTGATTCTTATCAGTAAAAAGAGACTAATAAGAGTAAGTGATCCCTGTATTGCTTTACGAAAGGGACTTCAGAAAGTTTATAAGGTGTTAGAGGCTGAGATTTGGAAAAGATCTTGAATCAGAAGTTCAGAGGCTTCTTCAGCCCCTGTAATAAGCACATGTTATTTCAGGTAGGAGGAAATAAACTGGAGGAAAAGGAGAAAAGAGATCAGAACACGTTGTTAGCTGCCTTCTATCAGTGCTTGTTCAGATAACCATCTCAGTTAATATAGGTACATCAGCCAAAGACCACTGGAGCTAGCAAAAGAATTCAGACCCCTGTGGCTTCAGGCTTATATTTGGAAATGGGAAATTTAGTCTTTACAATCAGTTGTTTTTCCTTTCAACTTCTGTTGAATTCAGGATGATTTATGATTATTTGACAAAAATATTTTAAAGCAATTCTAAGAAGAAAAACTGAGATGTGACTAATGTCTCAGCATGTGCTTAACTTAGCATATGGTTTATGTTTCCTTTGGGTTTCTTTATTAGCCCATAAAGGAAGATACTGGTAGTTCTGTGGATACACATTTCAGGAGGTTTAAATTCAGTCTTTTTTGAAGTCAAAGTACAGAATAGTTCATTTAGTAGTGTTTTCCTAAAAAGATGGTAAGACTGCTTTGTTTGTTTTTTTTTCTTCAAGTCACTGAAAACTGAAATAGGCTGTGGCGTGAGCCAAACTATAAAACATGTATGGACGTTTATTGATAGCAGTCTCTGTGCTCTATTCAGTCACAAAGATAATGGAAGTGCTTCACAATATAACCCGAATTTTTTTTCTGACCCTTTGCCATTTAGGAATTGCCCAGCCTCTGTGGTAGATGTTCATTTATCTTTCCCATTCCTCTGTAGGTTTTATATTACCTTTTTTTTTTCTTTTCTTTTTTTTGCTGTATAACATAGTACCCTTTATGTGTATAATAGAGATTTTTGACAGTTTCATATATATTGAAATCTTTCTGTGGGGAAATGATTTAGTATAATGGATTTTATGTTGTTAGGATAAAAATCGAGCATATACTTCTGCTCTGTTTTGAAACCAGACCCATGAAAAGAATTCTCCCAAAAATGTCAAGAACTCATTTTGGAAGTTCTATATTTTCTTACTTCTTTAATTTTGAACACAAATTTTTCACTGTAAGAGGGAACTAAAAAATTCTATTACTTCCAGCATCTTTTTAGAGGTTGACATTTAACTCTTAACTATTAGGAGTTGTGTAATGTTCCAATTAGGAACAGAATATAGGAGAGGGAAACTCCAAGGTGGGTGAATGTGTTGTTACCCAAGGCTGTGCTGTGGAGGGCTGTTGTTGTTATGAGCTTGTTGTTTATTGAGAACACCACAATCATTTTGTTATGTCTGTGTGGGTTCAAGCTGACCTTGCTGCAAACACATGTAGATATAAGTTGTTTGTTTTGGTTGTGTTTTTTTTTTTTTTTGTGCCCCCCTTCCAAATACTTCCACTCTTTGCTCTTGCATTCTCTATTGCATGCAATGAAGAAAGGATCCAGAAGGAAAAGTAAGACTCCTCCAGAGTTTGTCCAGGATAGTGCAAAATGGGGAAAAAGAGCTGGATTTTGTCACAATGCTTTTACCACTTACTGTGCTCTGGGTCTGTCAGAGATCTAAACTGTCTGACTGATCTTGCTGGTTATGCATTGCTAGAATAAATGAAAATTCTTGTTGTGCTTCACATACAAAACCTTGGAAAGATCAGGGAAAATGCGAGCTATTTCAGCAAAGAAATGGCAGGGTAAATTGAATGAAAAGTCAGAATTTATTTCCTTTTTTTTTCAGTTTTTCCACTGGTCACTATGGAGGGAAGCAGTTGTGTGAATTGAATTGGCCACTAAAACAAATTTTTAGTTTGCTTGCTTTTTACTATCTGCCTCCACAAATGCAGCTGTTAATTCTGTGCTTGAGGCCCTTTGGTTTTCTTTTAGCAATAACAAATGGTATTTTCAGTATTTGTTTGTACTTTTACCACACAGCTGCTTTATTTCTGATAGAGAAATTTTGGAAGCCTATTTAGTTCTTTCCAGGCATCTTCTGCCATGAAATAACTGAAATGCCTATTACTATTGTGAAGCAGTAAGGATGCATGACTGAGGATCTGTGAAAGGACAGGACCCTGAGGAACACTAGGACACAGTTCTGCCTTGTTGACCTGATGGAGAGCATTAGTTCTGTCCTTCTGCTTGACTATGTGCTAACAGCAAAAAACCTGAAGTGTATTCTTAGCAGCAGTATGATACAAATGCTGCAGTGAGGCAAAGTTGGAACAGAAATGGAATGAAGGTGGAGTTCAGCTGAAGCTTTTGAAGTATGTATATAGCACTTGAGTAACTGTTTGCAGGAATATATGTTGTTGGGTGTTTAAAATGATATGCTTCCCTCCCGCTCCATGTACCAGCTCTGGCTCTGCAGCCATGCACTGGGAGTAGTGTCCCTCTGCCAGACAGGGACTGATGGAATGCTGCTCAGCAGTGATTCAGAAGAGGGACAGAAGCACTCGGCAGTCCACACCTATAGGCATCATTGTGTAACAGAGGTGAGTTTAAAACTAGGTCATCTCCTTCTGTCTGATTTAATCCTCTTTGTCTTCTAAACTGCGCTCACAGTCACTTGTCACTGTATGACAGAGCGTAGTAATTAGGTGGTAGGTGGATTTAACTTGGGGTAAGGACTAGAACCATTTGAGAGCTGAATTCTTCTTTATAAATCACAGCCTTAAGAACTGATAGCAATATTCCTCAGTGGAGTGATAAGATGTGGAAACAGAAACAAAAAATCCTGGATCATGGCACAGATTACTCAGTGGTGATGGACATCTTGAAGCAGAACTTAACATCAACTTCCCCAACCAAAAAAAGCCGTAGAATGAACAATGTGAGTGATCATAACATATGGTATAAAGTTACTTTTGGCTGCTGAGGTGCCCTAAATGTTTTATTTATGTTAGTGCTTTGTAGGTAACAGTGTAGATGTGCCAGAAAATATTTTGAAGGGGTGCCAGATTGCCATGTTACCTTTGGGTTTGTATTTTTCTTGTTAAAGTTTGTGTAGCTGAATACCCCAGTGTTGCCAGTGCTTAAACAAATTTGATTCTGTATGGAGATCTAGTTGCATATCTCTTTGCAGTACCAGGCCTTCAATACCTGTCAGCTTTTCATGCACTGACTCTCCTTTCAGTGCTTCACAGAGTAAGGTATCCTGTGGTGAATTTTAACCTCTTTGCTCTTTGGCTTCTAGTTATTGGAAGTAAAAGGGAAAAGAGATTTTGCCTATTGAGATAAAAAAGAGATAAGGATAGCATGAGAGAATGGAGAAAAACAGAAAAGGCATTTCAGGAAGCAGAAATACTGTACGTGGTCAGACTTACCACTTTAAAGAAAAAAAAACGCCTGTAAAACATTAAGTATTTTGTGATCAGATTTAGAACTGGGAGGGATAAGATAATGTGATAAAGGAAAAAAGGCAAAATCAGCCATTGGAGTATGAAGAAGACCTATCAAATATTAATTCACTGATGGTCTGAAGTGTGAATCTAGTCTTATTTTCTGTCATCAGAACAAAAATGGTTTTGATGCTGGTTATTTTGGTATGATAAAGGAACAAGCTTAATGGAAAGATGGAGATCTCTCTCCTTTCTCTTTTTTTCCCTTCCTGAAATACTGATATATCAATACCAGTAAAAAACCACACTTCTGGATTTTCCCTGGGTTCCTTTGTGTACTACAACCTAAGAAGTAGTTACTTGCCCTGTGTGGAATTATAGTAAATTGTGACACTGTGCAAACATTTAAATCTTGAATTTTGTTGCAATACATGAACAACCTAGAGATTATACAGTGAGAAAAGTGAGAAAAACAGTAAGTGGTCTTGGGCTTGGAAATACTCCCAAGGAATGCCGTGTCGGTTGCTTCTGCTAAGGAAACCTCCAGAAGGTGGGGTGTACACCTTGTCAGTGATGAGGATTTAGGATTCTACCTGTAAGAGTCAATCTGTATCAGAGAATCTGATCTAAAACTTGTCAGACTTGTTTGTAATGGCAAAAAAATTCCATTTCATGTGGTTGACTTTTCATTACTTCTGTGTCACAAGAATAGTTCACTTCAAATCTCCTATATTACTGAGCCGAATTAAATCAGCTGAGTTACAATATGATGTAGTATTTACTCTCTGTTTGTTACATGGATCCAAACTGCTGCTGTCTTTTATCTTTTAAAGGAGCTTAAAGTGAAAAAGTAACTGAATGTGCTTTTTGATAATGACAGAGAAGAAATTCATGCTGCATGACAACAGAAAGCAATCACAGGAAAGAGCAAATTCTCCCTACTCAAAGAAACTGGAAGAAAAATAAAAAGGGGGGGAATGTTTTCAGTAAAGGGAGAATCATGCAGAATCACAGAATTGTAGGGGTTGGAAAGGACTTTGGGTGATGGTCTAGTCCAACCTCTTGACAAAGCATGTTCCCTAGAGCTGGTTGCTCAGGAAAGCATCCAGGTGGGCTTTGAATATCTCCAGAGAAGGGGACTGCACAACCTCTCTGGGCAGTGTGTTTCCCCTAAAGAGGATTGGTGCATGAAGTAGGTTGAAGGGGCCCAGGTTTATTATGTAAGCAGCTGCTGGACATGGAATACTAAATTCTAGATTTCTGTCAGGCTAAGGTACAATGGGCTGAACTTGTTATTTATCTGTTTTCAGTTACAGAACAGGCAAAATTGCCTAACTTCATTGGTAAAATTCAATAATGGTAATGTTATCTTGGAAAGCTGCATGAGCTCTTATGGATTTTTAGGAGCATGTCAGATGAGCACCTGGTGATGTAGACTTATTTGATCCTCTATTAGTGATGGAGTCTCAAGAAGTCATTTGGAGCCATGTTCCTGTGATTTAGATTGCTTGCAATCCAAAAAGTGGAAAAGTATGAGTAATGTGAAACACAAATCTGATTTTTGGAGAGGCTACGACTTTAATGCTCTCTTTCGTCTTCTGTTTTTTTTTCAGAGCCCATGGCTGCTTCTAATGAGAATTCTACTAATTTTGTGGAAGAAATTAACCTACATTAGGGCCAAAGTTGTTGATGTTCTGTTTAGTCCCTCCTTAATCCCTTGGTGTTTTTAGATGTGAGAGAACTTTTTAAATTGGCAGAAAGTTTTTAGTGTCTTGAGCCTCATCTCTTCTCCCTCCAAACTGATGAAGGAACAAAAGACAACCTTATACAGGTTCCACACCCAAACAAAATTTATCATAGTTCGACTGACAGGTGTATGCCAAGAAAGTCTTTCTATTCTTTTAATTCAGAAATTGTTTATTGTTTAGTGGTTCAGTAATTAACTGAGAAAAGTCACGAAAATATTGTTTTCTGATTCAAAAATTGGGTGCTCTGGACCACTTGTGCCCTGAAGGCTAGTAGGAACCTGAATTCTAAGGAGGTATCTGTGACTTTCAAGACAAGATACTTTTAAACTTAATGCCAAGGTATTAAAACTTCCCTGCATTGGCCTTCTCTGATCTCTCTCTCTCTCTCTCTATATAAGTCCACCTTTATTCTCACGACTTTTGTCTAAAATTTGTCCTTCTAGTCTTTACAAGAACATTATCCCACTTACCTGAAAAAACAGAAACCTGTCTTATGAGATTTTCATGCATAACTTGAAGCAATTTACATAGAAATGTCAAGGTAAAGCTTGCAATTGCTTTACCTTGGGGGCTCACATATGGTAAACAAGATACAATAGGAGTTGGGTTGTAAAATATGAACTTTTGTGAGCTCAAATAAGGATTTTTTTCTATCTCACTAGTACAAGTAAAAAGCTTTTTTTAAATTAATAATTTTATGAACTGTTATCTGCCGTGAAATGGAAGCTGTAATATGTGTTGAGAATTGAAGATAATGTATGTGATCTATTGTAAAGCAAATTAATATTATCAATCTGTTTATTTTTCCATGTAATTAAGCAGTGGTGATCAAAATTCAACAGTTTCCTTGGAGATTAAATGTAGCTTTGGAAATAAACAGCGAGGACTGTTAGCCATAACAAATTGTTAAGAATCCAGAAAACACACTAAATTGAGTCCTTCTCATTTTTCTCATGATTATTTTGTATACTGCTTTTTCTTTATTATTTTTTTAGAAGACAAATTGATATTCATACATGCTAAATAGTCTTCTAGATAGGATATTTTGATAGTACACAGCAAAATAAATATTAAGGTTCAGGTTCCAGCTGTGGTCAGCCTTTGAGAACAACCATAATGACTGTTTCTGTCTCTGACACCTGAAGCCTCTGCTTCTCATTCTTTCCACCGTATGGATTTCAGTATTCACTTGTGATGCTTAGTCATGCTGTTCTTGCTCATGAAATTAGCCCTACTAGGTGATTAAAGGAAATCTACCTTGTGGTGTTTGCTGGATTAAATCTCGTACATTGCCTTTTGAGTGCCTGGTGAAAGAAACACACCAGTCCTTTCACTCTGCTTATGCACAGTGGGTGAGACGTTTCTGACATAATTAATTTTCTTTTTGAGAACTGACCTTAGATAGTTAATAATTCTTTCAGCTCAAACAATGGACAGCAAATACGTCTCAGCAGAAGCAGGTCACTCGGGTCTTTGCTTTAAGGGAGCTGCAATAGGATTTAGTAGATCTTCTTAAGACTCTGAGTTGAATTTGGCACTCACTGCGGTCTGAATTGCTATTGAGTTCTCCAACCCAAAACCAAGATGAAAGCTCTTATTTCTGTCTCACTTTTTTTTTCTTACAATAGCACAATCAGAACTGATTTAGTTGAAACCAATGAAATTACATCTCAGAGAAAGGTGACTCAAATCTGAACTATTGATGATTCACATCTCCTTCATGCTACACTTTCCCGCGGGAATATTTGTTTTGATTACGCATGCTCTAGGAGAAATTTTTTATGAAGACTTTTGAAATGGTGGAAATAAGTGAGACTTTGAAAATGCTTTCATAATATTTTACAGAAGTTTTAGTAGGCAGACATCCTTTGCTTCTTAATTTATTGTGTAGGTAGTAAGTGGACACACTTGGCAGCACTTGCACTAGCCTTACTTTTAGATATACCCTTGTACTTATAGCTGGAAACACTTCTAATAACCCAATAATAGCCAGAAAAATCAACTGTATGGCTCTAGTACAAAAATGTAGAAGTATTGCTAGAATTAAAAGATGTGCTTTTTGCTTAAAAATGCTGAACTCATATATCCTGCTTATTTCTGCTGTGAGCAGATGAAGTTTTGTTTCTAAATGTTTGAGAAATTAAAGAGAAGCCTGTTGATCCACTCTGCTGCTTTAAAACTATTATTCAGCTAGAAGGTCAGAGTAAATCATTAAAGTCATGTCTAACAGTGCCCTCCATAACAAGCAGCCAAGCACTCTGCAAAGCCAGATGGGTGGATTGGAGAGGTTTTTTTCTCCTTGAATGAGTGTTTCATTGTAATTTCTATTTCTGTATATTCTGGTTGGAGATTGAGACAATGGAAACAGTCTGTAATTTTCTCACTGAAAACCAGCTGACAAACCCAAACTTTTATTATCTTGATAAATTTTAACTTTTGCTGATCTTTTATGTATTAGTGGAACAGAATGCAGGTTTTGAAAAGATAGTGCATTGCTGGTGTCAGAGGAGCAAGGGCAACGTGCGGCACAATGAATTGTCTGTAGTAAAGTAAACTTCAGTTTCACATCAATGTTAAACTCCTTTGTGGCACATTTTCCAGCAGAGTAAGAAATAATGGGGGAGTGGGGCAGAAAGATAAACCTGCATTACAGATATTTTACATTCTGCTGCCCTGCTCCATGGTATTAGGGTGCCTAACAAGTGCTGTAAGCATTGCACAAAATGCAGTGCAATAAAACAGCAGGATTTGAGGGACAGAAGGAGAATCTTCTTTCTCTAGTGCATAATAGTGCTAAATTCAGAGTTCTCTGACAAGTAAATCTGTTACCTCTACGCTTTTTTTTTTTTTTTCTTCATCTTAACTGCATTGCTACTTTAGTCCCACCTGACGTGGTGGCTGTACTTGTTACACAGAAAGACTGCAGTTTTTAAGCTATTCATTCTGGGCTACCCACATAAATTTTACATGTAACATTGCTCAGAGAAGACAAAGGTTCCTAATAAAAGAGAACATGCAGACATCTGTGTTCTGTCTGCTAGTCACTGAATTCAACCAAGCAATAAAAAGTGAAGGTTAATGCAACTGCTTTTCAATGTAATGCATGTAGAGAAATTCCAACTGTCTGCCTGCAGCATCCCATGTGACATGGAGGCAAAATGAGCAGAAATAATCAGAGTGGTGCTGCTATCAGTGCTAATACACATAGCTGCTCCCAGATCCTGTCTTCTTACTGTTGAGGTGGTCAGGATACAAGTTTGCTGTGAGCGCTGCCAAGACTGCAGTGACTCTCCTATAAAGTGAGATAAAATCTGCTTTTGTGCTTTATAAGCAAGCTGTGGAAGAGAGGCCTGAGAAGAACTGGTGTAGCTGTGTGTTACTAGGTGAAAAACTTGAAGGTTTTTCAGTGAACACAGTCTTCCTTCTGATCCCGAGAGATCTGATTTTCAAATCCCTAGACTGGCTCTATTTTAAATATGGATAATTAGACTGCTGTATCACTCTCAGGGACAACTGCTAGGTCCAAAGCAACTTTGCATTTTTCTTTCACTGAAGCTTTCTGCAGGAACAGCTCCAGAAAATCTTATGCCACAGAAATACTTATCTTCACTTCCCTTCACCACAACTGTCATCTCTCAGCTCTTTGTGGAGTCAAATCAGAGATTCCTGCTCCTCTTGTCAAGCACCATAACTTGTTCCCTTCTAGACTCTTCTCAGCTTAGCGGGAGAGCAATACAAGTGTCTCTGAACTGTATTTTGTAGTTGTTGCACAGTGAAGCGAGAGAAGAAAATGGTATTTGGCTGTCAGAAAATTGGACTGTCTGCAGCTCATTGTTGAGAATGAATGAGTTATCTGTGAAATCTGTAATTTAAATACAGTTGAGATAATGTCTTGACTGCTGTGGTATCCATCCTGATACGTGGTGGTGAGAGATTTGTAATATACTATTGCTTACTCAGACATTCACTACATTGGGTAATGCAGAGGCAAATGTGCTTTGTTCCTCATTTGTTATGTTGCTATGAAATACAGAGATGAATTTATCCAGCTACTGCAAACAGAATCATTGCCTCTCATTGAATCTTGCTCTTTTCTAACTCTTTTCTGAACTCTTTTCTAACCATTAAGTTTTACTGCAGGAACTTCCACACTGGGAACTTAATGTAAGTTATTATGTAGTTCTGCTTTTCAGTGTTTAAAAAAAAAATAGCGGTGGCTAATCCTTGTTTTGTTTCTTGCAGTAAGTGAAATGAATGTTATATAACAGTATTTTTGAAACAAAACCTCTTTGAATCGGGCGGCTGTGATTAGAATGACTGGTGTGTGGGTCTAGGCTACTGGAAATCTGTGCTGTTATTTCAACGCCTGTAAAAGTTATAGAAACACATGCTAAACTATAGAAATACCAAAGCATGACCAGCATGTCTGCACCAAGTGAGGCAATTGCGCTTCACTTGTGCCCCCTATGCTTTTTATATTGAAACAGAAATTTGACTAGTTATAATAGCTCTCATACTTCCTTGTAATTAACAGCTTGTACAAAACTGCCACAAATTCTAGACTGGGGTCAGACTGCATGGACTGTAGTAGGTAGAAGGACTGTTTGGAAATGACTTCTTTAGTTGTCACTCTTGATGAGCTTTCTAAACTTTCTTGAGGGAAGAAGAGATTTGAAAATATTTGAACTACTTTTCTGAATGAGTAATGCAATAGGTCTTTTCAAAAGCCTCATTAACTTTAAGCAAATGTTTGAAAGTTCTGTAGATCAATGTTATAGGAGATTTTTTTTTTTTTGTACAAGTTAGAAAATTAGGATGTTACTTTGGGTAATTGTGCAAATTTGAAAATGAAGGCTTTTGTATTCATTTATTTATCTTTTTGTGCAGGTTTGAGGTCCTGTTGCTATTGAATCAGTGATGACAGTAGAACTTCTGGATTTAATTAGGTCCAGGCTAGCATCCTGTCTAGTATTGCCTGCCTGCCAGAGTTGAGGAAAAAATCCATTTAGATCATTTTCTTCTTTGTGTTGTGACAGCAAATACTAACAGAAACTCTAATTTAGCCATGGTAGTGGTTTTTAAAATTTGTTTTATTCTTACAAGTGATTATATTAGAAGGAAATCCACCAGTCATCTTCTACATTTCTGCACAAATTGACATCTTTGAGTCATCCAGGTATTTCAGTAATCTGCTTAAAGGCTCCCTAGTCAACGTTTGACTACAGCTTCCCTACCCGAAAACTGAACAACGTGAAAAGAAAAAAGGTGGTTGCTGGAAACAAAACCTGCCATTTGAGAGTGTTTGGTTCGCGTGGCTCAGGAGTGGCTGTTGCTGGTGGCCTGCTCACAGCAGGTGGGATACAGCCTGGGAAGGGAGA